GAAATCTCTCCGGTGTAATTTAAAGTTTTCTATAGATCTCAATGTTCAATTGAATGACTTTTAAATACGAAAATCCCAATGTAAATAATTGGCTTTACTTATTTGCATGTAAAACGTGAATGTTTGTCATTAGCGTGATTGACATATCTATTCTTATCCTCACACCTGGTACTGAAATCAAACCAGTACAAATAATACTGGTATAATAGAAGCGGCTAGCTGAATTGGTTTGTTTAGGATTAAAGCATTGGGAGTCGTCTCCCCTGCGATATGTGTCACACCTTTCGCACAAATAGTGAGTGCTGTAGAGCCGCTGGTAGGGGTGGGGCTCTATGTTGTGAAAGTGTGCTGTGTCGGGAAGGGGATGTTTCGCAAAAAGTGACGAATTCTTTATTTTTTAGTCTTTAGGATTGTAGCTGTTTTGGTTATTTATAGACGACGTGTGATAATGGGGGAGGGGGGGGGGGATAATCAGCTGGGAATTCATTACGTCACATATGAACTAGTCCGGGCGAAGGAAAGAAAAATACGGGACGGGTGGTTGGGTGGGGAAAGGGGTGACAAGGATCGATAATGACTGAAAGTCAGCGACATTTTTATTACCCTCATTCGTCACAAGTCTTTAGACCTCACCCCCCCCCCCCCCCCCTCACACACACACACACCCGGTCACGTGTTATAAAATTATTGACTTCCTGGATTCAAACCAAACAAGCAAGTCAACAATCGCAATTTGATTTGCAATTTCTGGGTCAGCTTACGGGCTATAACGGTTGCACTGTGTGCAACAAGCCTGGGGGAGGGCAACTACTGTAACATACATGTCGAGCATTAGGAAAATATTGAGGTGTTTCTTCGTATGCGGTTTCTATGTCTCCCATATTAACGCATCTCTCACGCTCCCCTCAGCTCAGCATGAAGTAGATTTGTCTTAGTATATTTTCTTATTTTGATAAAGGCTGATTAATATAGTGGAAGTATGGGCTGGTTTATTATTTGTATGTACGCAGAGGCGTAGCGAGGGGGGGTGCGGACCGCACCGGGTGACACCATTTAGGGGGTGACACCATTTAGGGGGTGACACCAAGGCAAAAAATAGCAAAATATATAGAGAAAAACTTGAGGGGGGGGATGCAAATTGAAAGTTTGAGGGGGGGGGGTGCAAAACGAAAATTTGAAAGTTTGTCCCCGGGAAGGGTCGCTATGCCTCTGGAGGGTGACACCATTAAGTGCCGCACCGAGTGACACCTGACCTCGCTACGCCACTGTATGTACGTGTTCTGGAGTTATCCTTAAATGACGTCACGCTTTTTTGATGATTTTTACCTCCACCCTCCTCACTGTCACACATCGTCACAAAAGCCAGACCGCCCCCCAAAAATGACGTCACGCCTCAGCCTACAACTCCCCTCAAAATAGCACTTTTATTATATCCCCCTTAGGAGTGTGACGTCGTTTCTGGAGTGAGTAATGAACAATATTATTTGCCTATAATCCTGTCTTTAACATCCTTCATGTTTTATTTTCACACTTTCTGCTATTGAGAACAGTTAACCTATGCATTTCTTTTTTTAAAGACTCAACGTGAGGATTTGCAATTGATTTTAGACAAGATTAAAATAATTTTTTTTTCTCCAACTCCCAACATTTTTTGCGTTAGGGTAGATAACTATCGTAGTAACCGAAGAAAGGTGTGTGTGTGTATGGGGTAGAGGGAGAGGGGTCAGGGTTCCTACAAAAGTAATAGTAACAACCTATGATATCAGATGTGGTGTCTATGATGTTATTTTACTTGCATGGGGTAGATCCAAAATGTCATACTTTTGAGTTATAATTATGAACACGATTCCCTGCGTTATAAATAGTGTGTTATTTTTTATAGACGACACTTGAACAAAGTATATAAGACAATAGAGTTTGGCGTGTACACAGGGCTAAGTGCATAGTATTAAAACAAGTTAATTAAAAAGTCTAGTGACAATTTTAGCGCAATTTCCTTATGTTATCTAAAAATAGCTCTGTCGAAGCGTAAATGAAGAGCAGGGTTAGTAAAACCATTGGTTAGTTATTAAAACGTTTTTTATTAATATTTTTTTCAGTATTTTACATGTTTTATTTACAATAGAGTTCAGTGGCGGAACTAGAAAAAACAGGCCACCCCGCAAAATTTTTTTTTGGCCCCCCCCCCCATATATATATATATATATATATATATATATATATATATATATATATATATATATATATATATATATATATATAAACACACAATACGAACATAGGTTACTCAATACTGGCCTGACCGGGGTTTGAAAATAACCAATTCTATTAAAACTAATCACAACAATATGTCATGTGTGTGATTACATTGGTCTGTTTTGAAAAATCTGTTTTATTTTATGATCGACTAAATACTTCTAACCCTCAAGTCGGTCAAAAGTATATAAATAATGAAAGCTTTGTATAATTAATGGTGTCTCGTGTTTTGTTTATTTTCATGTTTTTTTTGTATTTATATTATTAATTTTAAATACATTTCATTTTTGTACTCTGCCATTCTTTAGTACTTATTTTTCTTAAAATAATAATAAAAATAAGTAATTGCTGTTTAATTTGTTTAGTACAAATCTATTAAAAGGAGCTTATGAGCAGCCACTATTTGACTATTTAAAAAAGGGAAATAATTTATGGAAGTGGTTTGAACGTGTGCCTATCTTTCATACTACAGCTCATGTGTATATTTTTTTTTACGCAACAGCATGTCTTAGCCTAACCCTTACCCTAACCCTAACATCACTACTGTATAAGATGAGTTTGTTATTAACAAAACCACTAATCGTTTTAATCGTGTATTTATTTTAGACGTTTGCCTTGTTTTCTAGAACAATGGTTATTAAACGTAAACAATGTCAGCACTTTATTTCTTGGATCTTAGTTGTTGGGGCGCTAGTTTGTCCACACCATCACCGATACGAGCTAGCTTAGTTGTTGAGGCGCTATCTATTCGCTTCTTGTAAGGCTAAGAGCGGGAGGGGAGCTTTGGCAAAGGAACTTAAAAGATGTACTTTTATCCATCTGTACCGAATGTAGGATGGTCTCAAAAAGTAGTCTTAATATCTAGTGGCCTCTCGCGCAATGGACGTTTTTTTCAAAAGAATTTTGCCGACAACAGCGTGTGTTTGATTGTAGAAAAAGAATATACAAGAGCGTGGGATATGGTGTCAATAGAATAAAGATAATCCAACCGCAGCTATAGTATTCTTTTTTTCAAAATAACCATCAGGTCAAAAATGCAAGAAATTATTTTTTTAACTATAAAAAAATGTATTATGGGCGGCTGTGGGCCCCCTAAACGGCGTGGGCCCCCCCCGCATTGCGGGGTCTGGCGGCACTGTAGTTCCGCCCCTGATAGAGTTATATGACTAAAAACCATTGCGCGCCTAGCTACTGAACGTGATGACGCAGCCATTGAACGTGATGGCGCAGCTATTGAACGTGATGACGCGTGTGGTGTGGTTGGAAAAATGCCTACTAATTTGGTCCAAATTTTAATTAATTCAAAAAAAAATTGTGACCGAACGAAAGGATATTTTTGAAAACTTTCTTCGGCAATATTGTTCTAAATTATGGCAGGAATCGATTGGTACATGTTTGAAGTCGCTAAGTGGTCAGGTTGCCGAGATATGGGCCAAAAACTGAATTTTTTCGAGGTTTTTTGGCTTTTCCGGGAAATACATGAAAGAAACCCGGATTTTTTATGGCCTATGCTCATTCTCGTAACTTGCTTAACATAATTGCTTTTGGAACTAGTCATCGATATTGCTTCGCTGAGGAGGAGATACGACTTAAACCCGGACACATATTCATCCATACATTCATCCATTCATTCATCCATCCATTCCCAGAAATGACGAGTTAATAAACGCAATTCTCCAGAATGGAAATTGCGCTAAAAAATAATTAGTATTTCAATGGAAACGAAATCGATACTTTAGAAACGGAAGAGTGTAACCTTGTTTGATTTGTGGTGAGGGCTTTAAACACTGAAGACGAGACGTTTGATAGTCATCATAGGGGACCGCCCCTTCTCCGTTGCTCCCCTTCGACACAGCTAAAATAATAAGTCTAGGCCTACATATTTTGGGTGCTATGGCATGCTAGTTTAGTCGGTATAATTTGACTGAGTCCATGTTTACGTTTTGTCAAAATAATTACATTTAGATCCACACTCCGTAAAAAATAATGTCTTCCCCACATTAATAATATTATAAATTAATTAAAATAATAATTATTCATATTTGGCTACTTAAATGTTTTTCAATAAAAAGATCACTTATTACAATCATAGTATCTCAAAAAAAGCTCAGATGTATTAGCTAGATAAACAGCTTTAAAGATGTTAACAGTTTAATACTGTATTAAAACTGTAAATTTTAGTAGATGTTTACATTTTTGCTTATTTAGCAATTTCTCATCCAGGAAGAAATTGTTTTAAAAAGTTTCGCATTTTTAAAAGAATCAACTAGATCAGGGGTCTCCAAACTACGGCCCGCGGGCCGGATGCGGCCCGCGAGGTCATCTCATCCGGCCCTCGGAGATCTTTTAGCCCACGGAAAAAAAGTGTTTGTTGTAGGTGGCTAAGGTAAAATGCCACCCCAATGAGATGCCTGGAAGAAACTCTGGCCCCCGAACTTATACTTGATAGTTAATGCGGCCCTCGGGCTGAAAAGTTTGGAGACCCCTGAACTAGATCTAGGATCTAGGCTAAATTAAAATTTCCTTAAAATGTCCTTAAAATCTTGAATATTTGCTGCTTGATATAGCTTTAAAATTTTAAATGTAGATCTACATCTGGTGCTATTTTTAAATTATAAAATAAAAGATGCAAATTATAATTTTATTCTTTTCCAATTAATTAGGCCTAGGCCTTTTCTTTAAAACGTAGTGTACTGTAGGAAAAATATAACAACAGACTTAGGTAAAGCCCAATAAAGGGGAAATAATTACAACGGAAAGTTTTTATATTCCTTAGAGATTCCAGTCTATATTATTTATTTAGACTTTTTGAGTTCCAGATTCTAGATTCTATACTAGATTCTAGAATCTAGATCTAGAATCTATAACCATTCTCAAGGTAAACGGGGCACCAAAAATAAAATAATACTAGAATCTAGATCTAGCATCTAGAATCTAGATCTATAGTACAGTAGTGTAGTTGAGACGCACTCTCTACTCTCGAGATCTGAGTCTTCTCTCTCTATTCTATACAAACCACACTGATGGCACTGTGTCACACAGTACAGTTGAGTACAGTGTAGCCTACAGTTACAGTGACTGTAAAAAAGTAGAAAAAATTGAATGATGTTTTTTTAATGTTGTAAAAAAAAACGTTGACTAGATTTCTAGATCTAGAATTTAGAATTCTAGGCCCTTGGCAAAAAACTTAAAAACAAAACTTCTTTCTTGTGAACAAAATGATTTTGAAAAGAAAATGTTCTAATCTAGTTTCTAGAAAGTAGAAATCTCTTCATCTCTATTCTATTCTAGATCTAACTAGATTACTAGATTGAAGATTGATCTAGAAAATCTAGATCTAGTAGTCCAGATCATAAATTTAATATAAATAATATAGAATAATAATAATATTTTATAATAGCCCTAAATTGCCTAAACCTAGATCAAAATATTTATAACTAAGCCCAAGGCTTAAATATTATGAAGTGACTACTCGGAAAAAGATTTTTCGCCCCAATGTCTCCACCTAGTTGGCAAAAGATAGTTCTGCGCATGCACAGTGACCTAGGGTTAGGTTTAGGATCAGGGATAGAGTTAGGGATAGTATAGGGTTAGGGCTAAAGTTCTGCAGTTTGAAACACATCCATTGCGCATGAGTATCTTTTTCCGGCTAGCATCAGCCTAAATATTATTAAATAGGCCTAAATAAAAATACTAACCTAGCCTGGCCTACTCCTAATCCTAGATCTCATACTTAATAATTATTGGCCCAACTAATAGGGCCTAATATTAAATATTAAATCAATACTAGGCCTATAGAAACCTAGTAAAAACTATAGTACTGTAGTTATAGGGCCTATATTCTAAAACACGAAAGTTAAGTGTACCTAGCCCACTGGTCAACTGGAATCTTTTAAACTTTAGGCCCTTGGCCTTATTATCATACAATTTATAATTTAATTCAGTTTATAATTTGATTAATTAATGATAAAATTTGTCTCAATCTAGTTTCTAGATTTATTTACTTTTTGACTCAGTGACTCTGACACAGACTGTACTGACAGTACTGTAGACAATAGGCCTGAATTGGGCAGAAACATCTGCTTACTTACTCAGTCATTGTTAGATTCTTGAGATTCAATAAGAACTATGTAGGCTATAAAGTTTTCTTGAAAATATGATTCCGCTCCCTACAACTATCATTTAACGTTTTATCCTCTAATGCTGTCATATTCCCTGAAGGTACCTTTCTGAGATCACCTTTTGAGGGTGTACTAAAGGTATTTCCTATTTGTGTCCCCAATGCTTTACTTGATGTTAACCGTTATCCTAATCATCTCATCTTTACCCATTTGTGCCCAAGACACATAGGGCAGATGATGTAGAGTTTATCTGTTTCAATGACTTCAGCATGCTGGGAATAATAATGTAGTCAGCACTATGCCCAGACGCCTTTGTTTCTTTAAGTCAGGTACCCATGAGAGCTGGGTGGACTAAAGTTTGAATCGTGATCAGAACTTGAGATTTTTGGGCTAGCAACCAAACGAGCTATTATTCAATCACAGTCTCTCAACCTTTCTTTTAGCCTGACCTTAACTCTAATTCCAACCCTAATAGTGCCAGTGGCCATAAAAAAATTACAATATATTTGCCCTGTGAGCAACATAGAAGAACCAGTATGACCAAGTGGTGTTGAAGACTGTTAATTAAATGTAATTTTTGGCTAACTTTTTCTTTCCTCTTCCTTAATATCCATATAGATTATCACATGACTTGGAACCTTTCTATAACCGCCTGCTACAAATAAATGTCATTCAAGGAGTATAAAATATTGATAATTTTTGTCTGTGTTAATACCTGGTAGAGATTTACGTCTGTATAAATAAATGATAACTGTTCTGTATAAATAAATGATAACAAATTTTATGTTAAATATTGCTCATTTATATTTGTTTACCCTTTGGAGTTTAATCAAATATTCTTAAAAAATATTTTTCATTAAATTTTAGCCTAATTGACTAATTGCGCTCAAGAGTTATCTTGAGTCAACTGATTGTCAAAGATATGGTGGAAGCTGATATCAGCCAGAATGATCTTGGTCCAGATACCCGGGTAAGTAAGACCATTATCTTTGTCATCCAACCAGTCATCAATTCACAGTGATAATAGCATAAACATCTGCACTTTGTTCCAAGATTAGTTCAGTCTGAATTTTTTAAAGTTAATGTATGTAGCCTACATGTTAAGCTCATAATAGGTACTTGATCATACAATTCAGTCCTAACACATCATCATCTTTTCCTGTTTGTGTCCAAGACACATGGAGCAGATGAAGTAGAGTTCAATGACCTTGGCATACAATGGGCATAGTGTGGTCAGCACTATGTCGCATGAAGGCTGCCTATTTTCCCTTATATGCGTCAGGTACCCATCAGAGCTGGGTGGACTCAGGATGTCCTATAGACTTGAGCATGGGATTCGATCTCAGAACATAAGGAATAGGAATGGCTTTCTTTTGTTTGTCCTTAGCATTTGAAACGATTATCCCCAATAGATTATCCTTTCTTCAACTATAATCAAATACATGTTATACATGAATAAACTACCTCGCTCATTCGAGTCTAGAAATGAAGTTGACACTTTTGGGTTAGTTATTGAGTGCTCTACCACTTGACCATGCACTTGCTGATAGAAAACATTAAAGAACTTGCATTTGCAACTTTTAATAAAATAGTGCATAAAACAGTTTACAATTTTATTCCCCAAATTTTTTTCAATGGACATGAACTAATTTTACATTCGAGCCCTTTTAAGTTTAAGTCAACATATTTTTTTTAGAACTTTTCGGTTTATATTTAGGATCAAAATAAATTAATATTTTATTTAGGTGGGAAGTAAACTAAAAAAAAAGTGTTTGACGTGCTGATTAAACTTAAAAACAAAATTACCATAATTATATATTCTATGGTGCATAAAAAATACTAGTATAGAAAGTTTTTTGAATCTTGTATTATTTTTTGTTGATCAGGCAGTGCTGGATACCATTGTTGAAGAGTTGATAGACGAGGTGGCCCTAGGCCTGTGTTTTGAGATACATCGCTCCTGTAAAGTTGGGAACATGTTCCTGAATGGCATAGATGATACGTGAGTTGAGCACATATTTAGCTTGATGACATTTAGAAGTCAGTTATTCTTTGGTTACAGTAATAACTATTAATAAAATGATAAGTTATATTTTTATAATATACCCTTATTTATCTTTGTTTGATCTCATAATGAAAAGTAATTTATTTATTTTTTGTTTTTTTTTAGATCCGATACAGAATATGGTAAGTGAGCAAGCCTGTTCCCTTTTAATGTCATTATATAAAAGTTTTAAATCATATTGAAAAAATGTTTAGTATTTTTTAAACTGCTAATAAATTTTTGCTGTAACCTCCGCATGTCTCCATAAAAAAATTGGAAAAATTAAAACAAAATCAAATGTAAAGAAAACTCAGAATTCAAAAGCTGTGTAAATACAGTAATTGGTTGTGTATGATGAAGCCCTTTAAAAATAGTTAAAAACCATATTAAACATCAGTACCAGAACCCAAGCCCAAATACAGTCTTGAGGCTATTCTTTTATACCATTGTGTGATAATTCCACAATATTGGACTGTTTTAAATACATGGTGTCAGGTTTGTAAACTGTTTACTAATATTAAATACTAATTTCAACAATAACTCAAATTATAATCCTCATTCTTATCCAACACTACTTATATATTACTGTAAACAAACACCATTATATTTTGAAAGACCCCATTGGTAGAGTTAATTTTTCAAAGCCTGTTTGGTCCTTTTATAAAAAGATTTCTGTTAACGAATATTTGTTCTGTGGCTAAAGGCATATACAGAGCTGGTATTGCCAACACAATAACAGATGAATTATTTATTTCCAAACCTGACATAGACCAGGTACAGCTTACATTCTGTAGTCCATTCTTTTGGTTTTAGCCATTGTGGACAGACCAGGGGTGGATGTGTTGGGTCAAGTCCAATCAAAGAAGAACTATGAGTGTGTGTGCCCCAACTGCCAGCGCCACCTAGCAGCTGCAAGGTTTGCCCCCCACCTGGAGAAATGCATGGGCATGGGACGGAATTCGTCTCGGATTGCAAGTCGAAGGTTTAACATTTTTGTTGTAATAAAAAGAAATCATTTACAGATTCTTAAATTATAAGTATGTCTTTATTTTACGTAAGACTTTTTTTGCATTACGAATGTGCCTATTATCATGCGTACTTTTTTACATCATATATTTATTTAGCCTGGACTATATACATAATTAGTGCATCATACATTTGTCTATATTCTCCTGAATAAAATTGTTGCATTACTAGTTTATCTTTCTTGATATATAATTACTGTATCATAAATTGGTTTTACATTATCAGTGTATAATTAGTGTGTTTGAAATTTGTCTATTCACTCCTGTAGGCCTATATAGCAGTCCTGTATTATAAATTTGTCTGTATTCATGTATATAGAAGTCGTGTATTATAAATTTGTCTGTCTTCATTTATATGGAAGTCCTGCATTATAAATTTGTCTGTCTTCATGTATATAAAAGTCGTGTATTATAAATTTACCTGTCTTTATGTATATATAAGTCCTATATTATAAATTTGTCTGTCCTCATGTGTATAGAATAGCCAACAACCAGAAACAAGGCAGTGATGAAAGTGGCCAGGAAGATGAACACGACAATGACTGGAACTATGCCCCGGAATCAAAGCGAAGTAAATGAAGTTGTTTGTTGCTTCTTCCTTTAGATGTGCAGCCTGTTGACATTCATCAAACTCAATTTTTTAAATGTGTTTTGTGTAAGGGCATCAACGAAGTTCTTAATGTTCACAATCTTTAATTTTTTTGTTTCAGTTAGGAAACTAAAAAAAGAGAAGTCATCCAACTCTCCACGCAATAGAAAACTGTCAAAGCTCAGAAATGGAGGTACAAACTTTTTTTAAATACAAAAATATATTATTGGTTTAGAAAATTTTCATTACAACAATAATAATGATAAAATTAATTTTGTCAAATTAAAATTATTTTGAATACTCCTAATAGATTAAAGGATATTTTAAAAATGAATCAATAAATAAAATATGACATTTTCCCATGAAAACAAACATAACATAACATTTCCCTGTAAAACTTTTACCATAACATGACATTTCCCTGTGAAAGTTAAACCATAACATGACATTTCCCAGTGAAAGTTAAACCATAACATGACATTTCCCTGTGAAACTTTTACCATAACATGACTTATCCCTGTGAAAGTTAAACCATAACATGACTTATCCCTGTGAAAGTTAAACCATAACATGACTTATCCCTGTGAAAGTTAAACCAGAACATGACTTATCCCTGTGAAAGTTAAACCATAACATGACTTATCCCTGTGAAAGTTAAACCAGAACATGACATTTCCCTGTGAAAGTTTAACCAGAACATGACATTTCCCTATGAAAGTTTAACCATAACATGACATTTCCCTATGTAAGTTTAACCAGAACATGGCATATCCCTCAGGTTCCTCCAATGATCTTGTTGCCGCCGAGTCCTCAGAGAGCCTGGAACCTGCCCCTGTCTATGAGTCAATGAGAATAGGTCGGTGATGATTTTTTATACTTGCTATTAGTAGTGTTTTCTATCTGTTGCTCTATGCTGTTTATGTGTGATGTGTTACACTACCAAATTCATGCGGTAACATCAGTGGGTTATGAGCAAACAATTGGCCAAAAAAGACCAAGAGGTTTGGTTTTTTATCCAATGGCTGTGTGCAACATTTCCACTAAGGAGCAAAAGAATCTATAAAGTAATTTAGTAAAGTGACGCTGCAGATAAAGTAGAGTTCACCTGTTTCTCTGACCTTAATGTATAGAGGAATAGCATGTTTAGTACTACGCCCAGCCAGCTTTAATGTGAGTTGGGTACCCATCAGAGCTGAGTAGACTCAGAGTATCCAATGGACTCAAGCTCTAAATCAAAACTGGAAAGTGGCCATGCACTCCACTATCCAACTATGCTGTCCCATAAAAGCATGTATGAAAATATATTGTGTTTGCACAGTGCTCTGAAAAGACTTACAAATTTATTTCTATGTTACAAAATGGCTACACATCAGGTTTACAATTAATGCTCAGCTAAGAGTTAACATTGGCTATAAGGGTAGTGGAATTAGGCATTCTGGCATACAAGGTTTTTTAAAATTGTTTTTAATAATGGATATCTTTTTAATTTATTAACAGTCTAAAATTGCAGAGATTTTACATTTAGTAATGGTTTTCAAAATTGTGTGCAATATTACATTTTCAGAGGAAAGGAAAGCATTACTTCTTTCTGTAAGTTCAAATTTATATACTACGTAAAAATTATGTTTTTTTTAATGAAATTTTAAAATGAAAAATCATAAATATACAATTGAATAAAAAAACTAAGTAGACAGGCTCTTTTTAATACAATTAAAATTGTATGTACTCATGATATTTGATGATGCTTGTAGATGTATGAGATTGTATGTACACATATGATATTTGATGATGCTTGTTGATGTATGAGATTGTATGCACACATGATATTTGATGATACTTATTTGTTCTTACAGAGTTGTGGTGTCATCTCAGAACACACCAAGCGCATGTGTACAAGGTCAGTTGTTTCATTGTTACATCATTTTCCATATTCATGCCACACCTGTCCCTTTTGCCACACCTGTCTGGTGCCACACCTGTCTGGTGCTATACATGTCAGGTGCCATACCTGTCCCTGGTGCCACACCTGTCCCTGGTGCCACACCTGTCCCTGGTGCCACACCTGTCCCTGGTGCCACACCTGTCTGGTGCCATACATGTCTGGTGCCACACCTGTCTGGTGCCATACATGTCTGGGCCACACCTGTCTGGTGCCATACATGTCAGGTGCCACACGTGCCTGGTGCCATACATGTCAGTTGCCACACCTGTCCCTGGTGCCACACCTGTCTGGTGCCATACATGTCAGGTGCCACACCTGTCTAGTGCCACACCTGTCTGGTGCTCAACCTGTCAGGTGCCACACCTGTCAGGTGCCACACCTGTCTGGTGCCACACCTGTCTGGTCCAACACCTTTCCCTTGTGCCACACTTGTGCCTGGTTTTACACTTTTCTGATGCCACACCTCACTGGTGTATGTAACACCTCCTGTAGCAGTTGTAGGTGCCACGCTTGTGCCAGGTGACACCATTGACCCTGTTGTGGCTGCCACATTACATCTTACACCAACAAAATGGTGCAGTCTATTACATAACTCCTTCCCACTCCACAGCTCTATGTAAATTACCTCTTACACCAACAAAATGGTACAATTTATCACAAAATTCCTTCCCACCCCACAGAGTTCAACACACTGAAGTAAACAGCATCACTTTTTTATGCTGACTGATCTAAAATATTCTTTTGTGAGGTCGATGACTTTACATAATCAGATTATAGTTAATCCTAATCTCATCCCTTGAAAAGAACATCCAAGTAGACTTGTATTCTTTGATGGAGTGTAAGGATGAATGGATGAAAGAGAGTGACAGTGAGAGGCTATGCTGGGGTTATATCAACCTTGTCAAAGGTTGCTAGTGCTAGTCGTGTCAGCTGGCTGAGTTGTTGTGTAACATTTAACAGCTGACATTTGTCTGTCAGGTTATGCTGCTGACCTGCTACCTGTCAGGTCATACTGCTGACCTACTTCCTGTCAGGTCACACTGCCGACCTACTTTATTTCAGGTCACACTGCTGACCTGCTACCTGTCAGGTCACATTGCTGACCTACTTCCTGTCAGGTCACACTGCTGACCTATTTCCTGTCAGGTCACACTGATGACCTACTTCCTGTCAGGTCACACTGCTGACCTACTTCCTGTCAGGTCACACTGCTGACCTACTTCCTTTCAGGTCACACTGCTGACCTACTTCCTTTCAGGTCACACTGCTGACCTACTTTCTGTCAGGTCACACTGCTGACCTACTTACTGTCTGCATGCCACAGTGCTGACCTTCTTACTACCTGTAGGTCGCACTGCTGACCTACTACCTGTCAGGTCATACTGCTCTGGTCACATGATAAATATGTATTGATTGCCAGCTTGCCTGTCGTCAATGACCACAGAAATAAGCGACTTGTGAAATTGTTCATTGCCTCTAGCCGTGAAAAAAGCGACCTCAACTGTACACTTGGTAGTCAGATTTCTCCTCTACAGTATAATCCTACGGTAGATTCAATATTTTATCAGATTTGGTTAGACAAGAGTATCCAACCAATATTATACCGGAGATAGTTTCTGTGCACTACTACGATCCATGTAAGAATGAAACCTGTGTATGCATGATTTACCTCACACAAAGTGCAGCCAGACAACGGAAGAATGCTGCGATAGACAGAACGTACTGGTGTCTGTATTGAGATACGGCAGACAGGAGAATCTCCAGGTGGCCACAACGTCTGCTGTACACGTTTGCTTAGTATAATAACAACATGGCCGCCGTGTTTGTTTTCATGTCAAGAAGGAGGACAGCGTGGTCGGGCGAGAGAGCGCACGATTGCGTTGCCGTAAGTCCCGGGTTCAGACCCAGATTAGGACTCATTAGCTGGGTCAGCAATCCGGCTAGGAGTAATCGCAAAGTATACAGATGTGTGATTGAACTAAGCACAATCAGCGTGGAATAAATCCACCCTGCTATTTCAATTAAGAACGAAGAAGAAGAAGCATTTGAGAAGAGATATGTGTGGTCGAGGTTAGTTTTTAAAGCCAGGTACGAGTTTCCACTCGTGGTTCAGTGTCAGGTTAGCTGAAAGGAATGGTGGCGACGGCGTACCCCAGGGGGCACCGCCTCCGCTACCCTAAGCTAGCGCCGCTACTTCGAAATTTCAGCGCAATTGGGACAGAAACTACATTTTTACTTTCTCGTATATACGAAGTATAGAGAAAGTCTTGTAATCGTGCAAAAAAAAAAATCGAGATTTTTGCAAATCTCGACGTTTTACATCTCACTGATACGGAAAAACATAATTTTGCAATCTTGTCCGTATGTCTGTGTGTCCGTGTGTGTGTGTGTGTGTGTGTGTGTGTGTGTGTGTCCGTGTGTAAACACGATAACTTGAGTACCGTTACAGCTAGGTTGATGAAATTTCATATACAAGTATTATATCAAAATCGTAGATCCGTATCAACTTTTGAGCGATTTCGGATAACCGGAAGTGGTACTTTTTCTACTTTGAATTTTTCAAAAGCCTATAACTTGAGTACTATTTCAGATAGATAAATGAAATTTCACATGTAAGTAAAACATCTAATTCTCTACCTTCTGTTAAATTTTGAGTAATTTCCGTTGACCGGAAGTAGTACTTTACGCTACTTCCGATTTCTCAAAAAACTAATGTAAATTTATAAAGTACTAATACTATTGCGCACTATTATACACACCTTTATTAGGCGTTCGCTTGGTGCGCAATTGTTTTTTACTGAGATTCTATTCTATTTTTAAAAGTTTCAGTATTTAAAATGGATTAAAGATCATAACTATATCCCCAGTTACCATCCCCTGTTGTTTTATATAAGAATATTCGAGAAAGTTTAGGGGAGATCACTACCGGTTTATTTCATTATGAAAGGCGTATATTATTTTTATAATTGTCAAATCTTTTCGTTGCGCATCAGTTCATTTCTTCATTGTGGTGTCGTGTTCAGTTGGGGATAGGGACCATGGTGATAGAGAACTTCCATTTCTTTTAACATTGTATCATATCGGTTCATTGTTGTGGGGGGGGGGGGGGGGGGGGGGGTTGGGAGGCGGGGGGGGGGGGGGGTGCGTGGCTAACGGTGCCTTTTATTGTTAGGGGAGGGGGTGCCTATCAGTGTCTGTTAATTGTTCTCTGTGTGTGTGTGTGGGGGGGGGGGGGTGCCAGCTCATTATGTTTGTGTATGTGGTGGAGTGGAGATCGCCTCTCAGTACCTGTTTATCGTGGATTGATGTCATCATGTGATATTAGAGGTTGTTTGTAGAATGAGTAACGGAGCTATCTACTTCCACCCACCCCCTCCCAACCCTTTGTAAGCTTCAGACATCCTTGTGTGTTGTCATATTTCTCTACAACAGCCATCTCATTTTGTATTCAAATTTCATATATTATTCATCACACATACAGATAGCTGAAAACGTACATGTTAGGCTATACGAGATGGTGTCGTGCCGCCTATTGAAAAGTCTTATAATGTGTCCCCGCCTTCCATTCGCCCGATATCAACACGCTGTGTGATACTGCAAGCGGCTTACGTCACGGCCTTAGAAACAACACAACACAAACATACAAGGAAATGACGTATCAGGCAGTCGCACCGTGTTGTTTTTTTGCCTCGGGTCATAGTTGACAAACGATACCAGCTGTGTAAGAGGCTAGCGGGTTCAAGTGTTGTGTAGGAAATTCATCTTAGTGACTGGTGTAGGCAAGTCATTAGGCGACGCTTACAAGCTTTTAGAGAGCGCCCGTCTGCTTGATGTATAAAAAAATTTGCTCGTATTCACAATACATTAACCCGTAGAAGCACACACATAGAAGGTCACACACATATATGCACGAACACACAGACACTTGTATAAACAATTTTAGAAGTGAATACATCAATATTGGAACCTACACATATGCACAAACACACAGACACTTGTATAAAATTTTTTAGAAGTGAATACATCAAAAAGTTAAGCCCCGCCACTAATGCAAAAAGTTAAGCCCCGCCACTAATGCAAAAAGTTAAGCCCCGCCACACTAATGCAAAGTTAAGCCCTGCCACTAATGCAAAAAGTTAAGCCCCGCCACACTAATGCAAAAAGTTAAGCCCCGCCACTAATGCCAAAAGTTAAGCCCCGCCACTAATGCAAAAAGTTAAGTCCCGCCACACTAATGCAAAGTTAAGCCCTGCCACTAATGCAAAAAGTTAAGCACCGCCACTAATTCAAAAAGTTAAGCCCCGCCACTTGTGCCCTATTTACGATGTCTAGACGACATTTGAACATTTGTAAATCGCACGCCAAATAAGCTTCTTGTCCTGCTCTAGGGTTAGGGCTATGGTTAGGGTTGGAGTTAGGTTTGAATGTACCAAAATACAGACCTTTTTATGCAAATTATTAATGACATGTCCCAATTTCACCCTCTTAAATTATAAAAGTAGCCTACAAGTTTCATATCATCTTTTTTATTATCTTTTTTTTTGTGTGGCGGGGGTTATCAAGATTCAAGATTTGTTTATACAATTTGGAGACCATCTTAAACTTCTACCAATGCTAACCAACACTAATCAATGTGTTATTATCGTATTTCAAATAACGTCTTGGTCATCTACCTCGGCCCATCACTCCACCAATATCACAACTGACCAGTATCGATTTTTTCTTTTTGCGATAATGAATCTTTATTACTTAATTAATACAAATTTTTAAATAAATTATTTAATAATAAGCAATGTGTAGGCCCAACTCATCGTTGGATGAGAGAGATAGACCTATGGGATGGCAGCCTATGCCTATGGTATATTTCAGCTGCTTAAGTCTATTGTGTATGTTAGGCCTACAGTAAGCTTTTTTTTTGTACGTCTGCTGTTTGACCCACTTAACGCTCGCTCACTGACCGTGTAGGAAGCACAAGTTACCGGACACTGTTAGACCCCCCCCCGCCCCAGGCTTAATGTGCCCCCTCTCCACCCCCACACGAAAATGGCGAGAGACAGGCCTACAGCAATGTGCTGTTTATCCAACGCTACTTTAAAAAAAATAATATCTTTAGCCTTGACTGAAGTGTAGTTGTAATTATAAGTGCTAATGACAAAAGGTAATTAACTCAAAACAAAAAGATGAGCTAGAACTAGCTTCATTATATAGATTTAATTAGTTAAGGCGTTCAACTTTTTCGCTATTAGGCAATCTTGTTACGTAACCCGACCCTATATTGTCAAATTCTCTCCTAGTTTTCTTGTACGGTTTCATTTTAATTTCTGCCATTTTATTGTATTGGTATTGTTTAAAATGCTCAGCTTTATTGTGCAAATATGGGGAAAGCAACGGCGGCCGGGGGTATAGTGCTGACCGCACTATCTCTTCATATGCCGAGGTATCTGAAACAGATGAACTCTACTACATCTGCCTCATGTGTCTTTGGGCACGAACGGGAAAAGATGATGATGATTATTGTGCAATGTGCACATAGGCCACCACTTAACAATTATATCACATGCGTAAACTACGCCCATAATACTAGTATAACACAATTCTATCAAGATGACAAACCACCCACTTCTCTCCCTCTTGTACCCGACCGTCTCTTGCTATAACTAAAGTAAACTCAAATGACTGCAACTTTGTGTTAGGACTTTTTGCATCTCTTAAACAGAATCTTTAATTTAGTTTTAAATACGATTTTGTGCACATGGCCAGTTCTAATTACCACATGGGGCGGTTCCCAATCAGCAGATTCTGACTCAGTGTGAGGCAGCTTACGTCCATAAATGCGAACTAAATATAACTTATTATGTCTAGTAGGACCTACATATGATTTTATATTTATTCCAGTCGGTCGGCCTGTTGTTACGTGTCATCCCCCCCCCTTTTTTTTTAGCCCTATATTATTATTTTTTTTTCTTCTTTCCCCGTTAACACGCTCCATGTGTTGTTGCCATGGCAAAAAATATCGCTGTGTTGTTTGCATTAGTGAACTGTTTGCATAAAGACACTTTTGGGAGTTAACAAAACAAGTTATTGCCCCTTCCCGCTTGGTGGCTCTGAATGCCAATACTACTAGCTACAAGGTTGAGTGTGGGATCCAGATATTACAGTTATGGCCGCCAGCCAAATTCAAACATTGTGCTGAGACGGGGTGGGGGTGGAGTTGGTCATATTGTAGGCCTAACTCATCCAGTATAATTGATTATTTTTTGTTTTTGAATTAGCTAAAAAAATAGACGCTGCATTTACGTATGGGGTTTGGGAGCGTCTCACGTTTTTGGACGATTACTTGGCCCTTCCCCCCTCTCCAAATCGTCACATTTCAAGCCTCTACTAAAATGACGTTCGCCCCCCCCCCCCACCCCCAAATAGCATTTTTGTTTTCTTATAAAGGGATTTTTTGGGGAAATATTAGATGAACTAGTCGAGGTCAATATAAATCTTTTTTTTGGCTTATTGATGTAGATTTTATTTTGGCTTATTGATGTAAATTTTTATTACAATTTCGAGTCTTTTTAAAAAACTTCTTAATTCCCTCCCACACCCCTCCCCCGCCCAGAGTTTCTTCCAGGCATCTTTTCGGCCCCCCCCGAACGAAATGAAATTTATATAATTTATATAGAAAATATATAGATCTACTTTTAACAATGTCCACCCCCCCCTTCCCGAAGAAAGTCTACCGCCCCCCACCCCCCGAAAATTTCAAGTGCCCCCCCCCGGAGAGAAAAGTCTGGAAGAAACACTGCCCCCACCATACATCGTAACAAAAGACTAACACTCCCCCCCCCCTCCCCTACACACACAACCTGCCTCTTAAGAGTGTGACATCATATTTGATTTACTGGCGACCTCCTAGCCTAGACTATTTCTGGAAGTGCAGTTTATGAGATGAAAAAACTGCACATGAAGCCTCTTGAATATGATAATATCAATAATAAATAATAGCAATAACAATAATAATACTTTAACATTTGTTTTAGGACAGGAAAATGTGTGCAACACACAGATGAACAGAGGCGACAAGTTCGACAACTTTTGCTTAGACAGAGGTAATGTTTTAAACAGATGTTGGCTTAAGATTTGTGTAGAGTGATTCTCATGGTGAAATAAGATTCTCAATTTAGTACCTATAACAGTACAGGAAATGGAAGCAGGTACTGAAATAGTAATATTAAACATATTGTATTTTACAAAGCTCAAAGACAAAGGTACATCAGAAAAGAGTGGGATTATAGAATGGTAGATGGATATGGTTATAAAAGCAGCAAAGATGCCTTCTTGGTTCAGATTTAATTCAGAAGGAAATTCACATATTAAAAAATCATTAACAATATTAACTGTGGGGTTGGCATGGTCGAGTCTGTAGAGCTCATAGTTGCTAAACCAAAAGGACCCGAGTTCGAACATCCAGGGAGATGGGGCTCGATAGCTGGGACAGCAACCCATCTAAGAGACAACTCCAACCAACAGGTTAACATGTAATACTTCATTGTGTTGGAGGAAATACAGTCCAACATTAGAATGAAGAAGAAGAAGAATATTAACAAAGAGATATTTAAAATCAAATTATCACATTACAAAATGTATTGAAGCTTAAAATTGCTAGCAAGAAAAAATATTTTATGCTAAATTAACAGTTGTATTTAGGCATATCAAATTTAAAATATTTAAAAATTATTTTTTTTAAAATTAGCCGAGCCCATGACCTTGAAGACATCCACATAGATATAGACACGTATGATGATGCAGAATCCCAATCATTACGTGAATCTCTTCAGTGGGAAGCCTCGTCCAACTCATCTCCAGCGGACTCCACGTCCACTAATAACAGTAAGTCATTAGTGCTTATAAATGGGTCCTAATACCCCCCACAATTATATAACAGTAAGTCATTAGTGCTTATAAATGGGTCCAA